AATGATTTGAATACGGGCGTCTTAGAGTTGACTTATTATTGACGTATAACATCCTCAACACTTTTGAGCATCCCCTTAAACACCTACTTATGCTCAGTCCCACCACAAGCCTTAGGGGTAACACCCAGAATTCGGAGACACAACACACCAGAACGGACCGAAGACAAACCTTCTACTTCTTAAGAGTAGTAAAATTCTGGAATTCTCCACTGACTGAGTCAGTCTGAGCGACCTCACAATAGTCTTTTAAGACAAAACTTGACATATTCTTAAGGACCAAGGACAGTATCTAACTATGAGTTACTGTTTTTTTCCTTTTCCCCTGTTACTGTTAATATACCTAGGTTCGTACTTAGAGGTATCGGTGATCTCCTGCCACCAGCTACGGAAGCCACCGTTAATCGAAAGCTTCTTTTATTCCGTCCAGAACTAGACAAACAAGGGCGCGCAACGAAAACAAGAATAAGGATGTCGACAAATCTACCATCGATAGAGCATGCATTAGCACTTATGATGACATGTTGAAACTCAGCACCATCATTACGTCGACGGTTTTCGACTCCCTCAGTAAATTCGAGTCTCCCGACCCAGGGTTCTTGAATGCAACAGTGGCTCCCAAAAACTCCGTAGGTGATTGGATCCACGTCAACTGGGCTAAAAAGAACCAGGCGTCACCGCCTAAGCTGAACATTCCAAGTGTTGTACGGAAGTCAACTGGTGATTTGGTTGCACAGTCTACCCCCAAGAATGTCCGTTTGGTCATCAAAGAGCCTAGGAATCAGAAACGTGCTTCGACCTCCAAACAACAAGGCGCTGGACCTGAACGCACCGGAAAACCTGAGAAAACAACGACGGTTCGTGATGACTCCCACATAATCATGAACCTCAGAAACAACCCTGGCCTTCCTCTCAGTCCGCAGGACAAAAATGACAGGATGCTCTGGGGTGAATTGAACAAGAAACTTAAACTTCCTAGAACAGAGCCTTTGACAGTCACACAACTCACTCGGAGAAAGGAATCTAAGCATCGAAATCGCCTGAGGCTACTTCGTGTAACATTTAAGAATGCTACCGACTTAGAGGATGTTCTGCTAGCTAGTCATTTACTGAAATCCTATGGGAACGTAAGAATACTGTTCGACATACCGTATTCTGAGCGCAATCCCATCCGGAACATCCCTAAAGAATCTCGCGAGAAGTCTTTCCGCGGAAGAAATATAATTGTGCAAGGTATACTGGAAAACACGGACCCTAGTCAAGTAAACTCTGATATTAGGGAATGAAAGTTCATCAAACAGTCCTTGAGGCTCAGAAACATACTGACTGAACATGCGACGAGTCTGGCGAAGAAGGACGGTGATTCTAGACCCCGGCTAACGAGGATAACTTTCCCATTTCCCTAATGGTGGCTGCAACTCTGGAAGCATTTCGTACCAACAGACTTCGGTTGCCGACTGGAATCCACATGCACCCGGACAGGCCACATGAAGCCAGGACCAAGCACAAAGGTAATTCGGAGCTGATCATTTCACTTTTGAACTGTCTTGATGATAAACAAAAACGTGTAAAGTACGGGGCCTACGAACTCGGCGAATTTTATATAGGTAGGCTACCTGTCCATTCACGTAAGGCTCACACAGACAAACAGGAAGAAGCTCACGCGTTTCAAATTTAAAGCATAAACTGCTTATTCATGGACACTGCGAGTCCACCAAACAAACTGGATGAACTACATGAACTTAGCAATGCTAATAAGGCCCATCTGATAGGAATATCTGAATCCTGGATATCTTCTCAGTTCTCGGACCAGGAGTTAGCAATACCTGGTATGTCCTTGTTTCGTAAAGACAGAAAAACAGGAATTGGGGGTGGAGTAGCCATATACATACGATCCTGCTTGGGGGCAAACCAAGTTCATAACCTCGAGTTTAACAATCCTGAGGAATCAATATGGTGCTCTGTAAGATTGTCTGCTACTCCGAGGTGCCTAGCCGGGGTCATATATAGGAAGCCCACTGCCGAGATCGAGTATGACAGTCGTATGTTGGAGGGACTATCCCACTCTACGCGTCTCAGTTTCACTCATATCCTGATTCTAGGGGACTTCAATCTCCCTAAAGTCAGTTTCGCGGAACATACGTATATTGAGGGTGAAAACTCAACTGAAGCTCGGTGCTTCAATCTCATTGAGGATTTGGGACTACACGAAAATGTGAAGTCGGCAACTCGTCGGAGAAACAGTCAGACAACGTTGCGCTTAGACTGTGTATTTACAAACGAAAAATTTCTGGTTGACAACCTCTCAATCCTGGCTACCCTGGGGAAAGGCGATCACGCCGTTATAGCCTTCAGTTTCGTCAGTAAAACTGGGGTAAGATATCTCACCAACAACAGGCGATGGAATTTCAAACGGTTGAATGTGTCAGCTTTACAGGACTATGTACAACAGGTTGATTGAGATTTTCAGGTTCAAATTGATATGGATGCTCACTGGGACTTCTTACTGCACACGCTCTTATGTGCTACAAAGCAGCCAGTTCCTCAAACGGTCTCCAATAGCTACAAGCAACCTACTATCAACAAAAACCGCACTCTTTGCATGCTAATTCGCAAAAGGTACTGTTGAGCAGAGTACAAACGAACTGACAACAACAGCGCGTACAGGCAATACAAGCATATAAGGAACATATGCACGAAGGCTGTAGGAGTAGACAGGCTTCACTACGAGACAAAGCTTATGGGTAACTTTGTCTCCAATCCGAAAAGCTTATTCCGTTATACAGCCTCTCTTCGTCAAGCCAAAACGGGAGTTTCCCAGCTGCCAGGTCCTAATGGCCCGACCAATAACGACAGCGACGCCGCCAACCTTTTGGCTGAACAATACTCTCGGACATTTCAACCGGCCCACATCAAGTATGCTGATGACAGCTTCATCTGCAACTGCACAGGTCTATCCGTAGTAAACCTGGGCGCTGACTTGGTGTTCCGGAGACTCAAGCACCTAAGAAAAAACACCTTTCCTGGCCCAGATATGATTCATTCTGCTATACTGAGGGAAGCAGCTTCAATCCTGGCAACATCGCCTAGCGTGATGTTCTAACACTTGCTAGGTCAAGTTAAACTCCAGCTCTTTCTGAAGTTTAAATTACATCATACATAACTGACTGATTTCAATTAATATATTCTTTATTACCATTTATCTATTTTCATGAGCTCTAATCACTACCTCAATGTTCCGGAACTTTCCCTCTCAAACTTTATTTATTTGAGACAAGATTTTATGACCTCATTAACTCTATCGGAATCTTCGCTACACCATGATACATTTATTCATTTTTAATCACCCTCTTATGTATAATTATGTCAATATCTGTAATAATGTTGAATTTCAAATATTTTAGGTTGTAAGCAGCTGATGAGAACCTAGAGAAATAAAATGAATTCATGTTAATCTGTATCAATATTTGCTCTTGCTCTCTTCAAGATATTAAAGGGAACTATGTGTAGGAAATTTGGAAGCTGGCTCACAGCACACCAACTTTTAATGGAGGCCGACGCAGCGAACCTTCAAGTTACCGACCGGTGGCTCTTCTCTCTATACCTTCAAAAATCATGAAGTCCCTGATATGTGATGGTATACCTGACTATTTACTGTCCTTGACTTTCTTCTCACCCCAACAGCATGATTTCAGGAAGGGTTACTCTCGTGTAACCAACCTGCTGACTGCGGTGGACAGATGGACAAGCAACCTCGATAGCAAGGGTAAGGTTGATATCATTTTCCTTGATTTCTCAAAAGCTTTTGATAGGGTTAACCGTATATGTCTTATCAATAAGCTCAAACGATTGGGTATCAGACCACCTCTAATCGATTGGCTCATTTCATATCTGAAAAATCGACATTTTAAGGTCAGTGTCAACTTTACTTTATCTCAAGCGATGCAATGTCCTAGTGAGGTCCCCAAAGGCTCAGTAATTGGATCTCTTCTCTTCTTGATTTATATAGATGATCTTCCTCGACAGGCAACGTCAGACTTATTACTTTTTGCTGATGACGTGAAACTTTGGAGAGAGATACGCAACCAAGACGATATACAGGCACTTCAGGAGGATGTGACTCGACCTCAAAGTTGGGCAGACGATAACGAATTTACCTTTAACACTTCAAAGTGTAAAGTAGTCCATCTGTGACATGTCGCGGACTATGGTTACAACATAGGGGACTCCCCTGTAATAGAATCCCGAGTCGAAAAAGATTTAGGAGTCCTAGTGCCCTACGATTTAAAGTCGTACGCTAACTGTGACGAAAATGCCTTTCGAGAAAACCTTGCACTGGTAACATTGAAGCTCATTTTTGGCCAGTTTGACGGAAAAACTTTTCATATAGTTTTCAACAGTTTTATCCGTCCCCATAGTATTTCCTCCCTTACTCCAAAAGAGTAAGGAAATTCTGGGACGTATCCAACGGCGAGCCACGAAGTCAGTTCGGGGACTCAAATTTAAACTTTATGAGGAGCGTCTCCAATTACCTAAGCTTTACCCATCAAAGTATAGGCGTCTTAGAGGTGACCTTCTGATGGCTTACAGTATCCTTAACACTTCTGGACATCCTCTTAAATACCAACTTAAGCTTAGTCCCGATACCAAACTACGGGGTTACACCCAGTAATTGGAGACACAACAAAGTAGAAAGGACTGTAGACACAACTTCTACTCATTAAGAGTTGTCAAATGCTGGAATTTTCCGCCGGTGGAGCTAGTCCAAGAGACTTCCCAGGAGTCCTTTAAGAGGCAACTTGATCTATTCTTAAGGTCTAAGGATAGTATCATAATATGATTTACCAATTTCTTTTCACTCTTTTATCGTTAACATACCTTGGTTCCTGCCTGGAGTTATTCGTGGTCCCCTGCTACTAGACACGGAAGCCTGTTAAGCGAAAGCTTCTTCTATTCCGTCCACAACCATCTGAACCATTTGAACCATTTGAACTACTTGAACCATTTTGAACGTGGACGGTACTTTTTAGAATGACAGACTATTTCAATTTGCTTCCCTCTGAAATATCAGGACTTGTCCTCGGTTAGCAACATTTTTAAGAGTTTATTTCGTAGGATTTTTGCGAGATAGCAATTGCGTTATCGCTGCTGGTGCTTTCCTTCGAGAAAACGTCCACTTATCTGAATTTCGTTATCACTATGCATCAGTGAATGAGATACCTTTGTATTTCAGAGAATTAACTTTGCTGGATATTATTCATGATTATATTCATATTGTGAATGAAGGTAAGCCAACGTTTTTTGTGGTCGACAATGATGGTGTTTATTCATTAACTTGAATTCTAATTAATGTAGGGTAAGAGGTGTGACAGCTCTAAGGTTGTCATAATTCAACAGATTTCAGATAAAGTGTGTCAGCATGTATATTTGTTCATGCCACCTTTTTTCTGGTTATTTTGACACGTAGATTAAAATCGTAAGTATTTTCTTGTTAAAGTTGTCGGCAGGTCCTACTGCTGCTCTAATATTACCTTTTTAATTACAATGTTTCTTAGCATAAAAAATAAGTCCGAAAAGGCAGTGGCGCGTGTAATAATTACTACACAAGCCTGCAAGTTGAGTGCTAATTTGAGCTTTGTAGAGAAATGAATGTAGATTTGAGTTGAGGCAAACACTGTAGTCGTGATTATTCTTGAGTACATTTGATGCCCCTGAGTTCGACCAGAGTTATTTACATTAAACTACTGATGAGGACTGCAAGTAATACGTTAGCCAATAAAGCCTATAAGGTGCCGCCTTATTGTTCTCTAGTATATTGACGCTGTAGCGGGTTTTACTACACCAGAACTTAAGTTTCTCTGAACAGTCATTTACGTTACTGGGTTTCCATAACTCTCTTACTTCTCTGGCTTCTCAAGTAGTGTTTCAGGATATGAACTACATTTTGTGCAATTAGTAAAAATGCTAGTTAAATTTACTAGCCTATATCTCTTTCTTCGGTTTAAAGTAGCTATTTAATAGATCGAATCCGAGTGCCAAAATTATTGTATCATGTTATTAAAATGAAGATTTGTATACTGAGATATCTAGAAGTTCTACCTTAATTTGATCAAAGAAAATATTCTGTAATTAGTTCACTGAAAAGTTAGAGTATTTTCGTGAATAAGTAACATCATTAGGCTTTGTTTATTCGTATAAAAGGGATCATTCATATCCATCCAATCTTTTTTTAACCAACAGATATTGTCGTTCACCCCCTCAATACATATGTAGTTCAGAATGTAACAAACTAACCTTTGTGGTACACATTTACGTAAAATCAGTTTACTCTTTAATGAAAACACCAATGTATTTTACTTCTCATATGCATATTACACCTTACGTTTCAGTCATCCCTCATTTAAAAAAGGCCAATCTTCCATGGCAACTGGGGAATCTAAATGCTTCCATAGCACAATTTTTGCAGTCATTTCCTGAAACTTGTTCATCAAATTTACGACCGAAATCATTTCGTCCTATTCATCCTGTTTGGATGCCCTTAGGAAAATCCTATGTACCGCCTAAAATAATACCTGCTGATAAATCCACTACAGTTCGACCTCCGCTTGCTACCGTGAAACCAAATGTAACAATAGCTTCATTACCTAATATAATAAGTGAGTACTTTAAATCATCACCATATTCTAATGTATTGATGCTGTGGATCACTTATATTTTGAAATTAATCTCTATAAATCATTAGATGTTCGATGGGTCTATGTACTTTTTGGTGACACTAGGTTCTTGATTATGAGCCATTTACAATATTATTATTATTATTATTATTATTATTATTATTATTATTATTATTATTATTATTATTACTATTATTATCCGAGTCATATCCTGTATTAACAGCATGCTTTAGAATGTGATCCGAATATGAGATCTCGCTTAATAAAAACGTAGTGACTGGACGATGAATAACTGAATTGGTTCATGCTGTCCAGGTGCACCATTTTTGTTTTTGGAGAGTCTGTCGTTTTTCAATCTCAACAACAACTGTTCAATACGAGATGATATGCACTTTGAGATGGATCATTAGACCAAAATAAAGCTATTATTTGATGTGACAGGTTTCTTTTGCAACAGTTGTGCGGAGTGTAAGTGAATTATACATCATGTGAACCTGAAATTGTAATGCGACACGCTTAAGTGAGTTCCGTTTTTTTGAAAAATGTAACTTAAAACTATAGCAGTATCGCCACCGACTTCTATTTCGACCCATATCTTATGACTTCTCAAGCCACTGAGTTGTACCATCGCTAGTACTTCCACTGGGTATTCGTGATGGACTCTCTGATGTCAGTCTTACACATTTTTCTTTTACGAACCAGCGGTGTCATAAACTGATCATCTCGTCTTCCCATCCAGTCCCGGAGTAGGTGAATGATACACGATGTGAAAGTCACTTGAACAACATTCACAAAATATATTCGAGCAACCAAAGCTAGTTTTTCAGGATGGTCATGGTAGTAATAATCAAGTCATAAAAGGGTAGAAAATTCTGATTATTCTCATGTTTTTTTAGTTCATCCCTCATCGTTACTCTGATTTTCAGGTTCGAATTCAACCAGTGGGATAGGTGCTGGTACTGTATGTTCACTAGACAATAATTCAACTGGTTCAAGAGCCAGTCGACCAGTGTTACGAATATATAGACAACCATTAGCAGCTAACAAAACAAATGTATTCAATTTTGATCTGTGTAGCAGTAGCTTGCCAAATTCCTCATCTCATCAAGCATCACAGTGTAACATAGTTGCGTCAAAATCTAATGCTAATCCTATGCAATCTATGGTTCGTTTACAAAACAAAACAAAACGTGTATCAGAGACATTACCTACTACTACTACTACTGTTACTAGTAACGGTAATAGTGATGTTCTATCCCTGTCAACACCTTGTAATTCTGTGATATTTCATCAATCGCCTATATCTATAACAACATCAGAAGGAACGATGAATGATGCCACTGTTCAATCTATAGGTGTGATCAACCAAAACGAAAATATTACTTCACAACAAATATGTCTTAATGCTCAGTCAAATGATATAAGCGATCATCAACAGATTTCTGATAATAGTTCCATATTTTCGGTGTTTTCATTGCTACCGCCGCCGGCATCATCAGAGACGTTAGTTACAGATATGGTGATTTATCCTGTAATAACATGTGAAGATAATCTGAATGATGCGAAAAGTACTGATCTTGTTTCAACTAGGCGAAAACGGTAAGATAACCCAATGTTTACTCGTCTTGAGTAAAAGGTGGTAATTCACACCTATATGTATAAAGTATTAGTATAGAGGTTTGTGTAGATTATTGAATTTCTATAGTTTACCTGAATAACTGATCTTAATTAAGTTTTAGCCTTTGAAATTGCACACGGAAATACCCTTATCTTCTTGGTCACAATGCGCTCTGATTTTGGTTTACTGCAGAATCTGATTTAGTAAAAATATACTATACTAATGACCTGAGCATCTTATCAGTTGATCAGAAAACATTGCTTGGTTATAAAACAGTTAATTATAAAAAGCAGTAAAATTACAGTGGAATAATGGTTTTGGTACAAATAATTAACCCATACTTGTTGAATTATATATTATGCCAAAGGAAAAAGGGTTAAGTTTACATACTATGAATTGGGGTTCATAACCCTATAGGGTTTTCGTCACCCATTGACGTCAGCTATAATGCACGGTTTGGCTTATGTAGTAGGAATTAAGAATTAGGAGTTAGGATCACAAATTAAGGTTAGTGTTTTCGTCACGAACTGATATCAGCTGTTACGCAATGAGGCTTTACAACCCTTTTGTTTACATAATGTTGGTATTCAGGGTCAGGAGTTAGGGTGGAAGAATACTATACAGTTACATAAACCCCCTTAGTTGCGCATTGATTCGCGTCAAGTGCTTGACCATAGAATCTCCATCGGTAATAGATATTTCCGATAATTTATCTTAAACACAATGTTATATTCATTGTTTATTTGGGTGGTAGATATTTTTTATAGTCGATTTCAAGCATTCTAGGGACCAAGTATTTCTGAATTCCGCTTAGTTAGTAATAACATACAAGCTATCTTTCACTGAGCTTTTAATTTCGCGTGAAAATTCATGATACTCCACCTTGGTTCGGATTGGTTCAATCAAGGCCGTCAGCAAAGTGTACTTTTATCTTTAATTTTCCAAGGGATTTTATTTTTAGAAGACTCCCGTGGATATTTTGGTGAGACTATAATTTATGGACGGCCTTTGAGCAATGCTAAAGTGATCTTGAGAATATTCAACTGTGTTGGGGTCATGAGATTATTATAAACCAGTTTGAGAAATTAAGGTTTTAGAGTCAAAGGTTAGGGTTATAAATTACAGTTTAAGTCTTCATCACAATCTGACATCAACTATATAAATATTAAAATTCTATTTGATCATATGGATAAATTAATTTAGTGTCAAAATCCAGGACTTAGTTTCTTAAATCTGATTGGTTCGTTCAAAAATTGTAGTCCTACTGACATTTCTTCCAGATATTATAATTTTATATATTTCTGTAAATATTTATGTTTTTTCATCATTCAGAAACCAACCACCACGTCAGTTATCACCTGGATCTGGCGTCGGAAGTACAATATTTAGTTTAACTAACAGTTATGAAGAAGAATTAGATATGGAGGTGAGTTACTGGTTTAAAATGGGAGTTGTAATGAGTATTTGGAGGCGAGTTGGAGCTCAGTGGTTAAGGCGTTCAGCTTTCAACATTAATTTCTAGGTTTGTACTTCGTTCCAACTACTTCGGTTTGGGCAACTAAGTGGTAGTATCACTAGTATTCACACTTAGAGTGTAACTTGAAGTCATGAATACTAGTTTGTAAAACTGGCAAATAAGTTGAACAAATAATGGTGCTTTGAATAAAATTCATGTTATACAACTGGTTTTGAATTTGTTTGGCTTTTTCTTAATGCATACACTAATATTTGTCTCCACCTATTATCCCGCGTTGAGGAGTATGGGTGGCCCACCAAGATTCTCCATTGAACTCTGCTTTGAGCAATGCTCTCCACTTCTTTCCAGTTACTATTCATCATTTTCATATCTGTTTCCAATTGCCGTCTCAATGTGTTCCTTGGTCTTCCTCTTTTCCGTTCCCATTCAGAATCCCAAGTTAGCGCTTGCATTTGATGCAGTTTGATGATTTCCGCACTGTATATCCTATCCACCTCCATCGTATTTCCTTAATTTTCTATTCAGCTGGAAGCTGGTTCGTTCTCTCCCACAGAAGATTGTTGTTGATGGTATCAGGCCAACAGACATTGAGTTTCTCATATAGACAATTGTTTATAAATACTTGTACTATTTTGATGATGGTTGTGGTAGTTCTTTAATTTTCAGCTCCGTACAGTAGAACTGTCTTGACATTTGTATTGAAGATTATAACTTTGATGTTGGCTTGCAGACAGTTGTTTTGAGTTGTATATATTCTTCAACTGTAGTAATGCTTTTCTTGTTTGCCAATCCTTGGATTTACGTCTGCATCGGATCCTCCTTTTTCACCGATGATGCTGCGCAGGTACGTCAAAATTTCGACCTCTTCCAGAGCTTCTTCATCAAGCATATGCGAGCTGTTCTCCATGCACGACTTTGCAGTATAGTCCGTTGTATGAATTCCGTATTGTGTTGACGACTTCCTGAGGTACACCATAGTGTAGAAGGTTCTCGAAGGTCCCCGCTTTACTCATTGTCAGACGCTTTCTCATAGTCGAGGAAGTTGATGTATTGTAACTAGTTCCATCCAATTGATCGCTATTTGGTCTATGCACGAGCGATCCTTATGGAATCTTTGAGTAAATCTTGTAAGGCTTGGAATGTGTTGTTGAGAGCTATCTTTAAATAATTGAGTTTGTCAGTATCTCGAAGGAAGACTGAATTGAAGCTTAGTAATTGTGTTTGTCTAGTCATCCAGTGCTTCTTTATCTTCAGTCTCATCTTTGTAACCACCAGGTGGTGATGTGAAGCTATGTCAGCTCTTTGTTCTCACGTCTTCCACTGACCTAAACATTTTAGTGACCGGTCGTCCCTGTCTCCCACATTGTGGTGACATTCCATGTATCTATGATAATTGTTGCTGTGGTTGTTATAAGGGTAGTCGGTCTCATGACTTTCGAAGAATCTCGGCTTTCATCATGAAGCGTTATAATTCTCTTGAATAAAGATCCTTCAACTCATAGGGAAGGATTTAAAAATGGTTTATTTTGGCTAACGTTCTTTTAGCAAGGTTGTTTTCTACCGGATGAGGTTGCTGACCCTATGCCCAAACCTCCTTTCCCCCGGGCTTGGGACCGGCTGTAATACTCGAAGAGCTGTCGGTGGTGTTCACTTGCATATACACACTAGTTCACAATTCCACATACCAACTTGAGAATTTTTTTAGAAACATCAGTAACATATATATATATATATATATATATATATATATATATATAGAGAGAGAGAGAGAGAGAGAGAGAGAGAAGGGACAGTATTCACCGGTAAAATGTCAGTCGATCAGTCATAATGTAAAACCTGGTTCAGTCTAACAATTAATGACTTCCTGAATTGATGCCACTTTTTAGTTTGGTCGTTCGTAGCTTTATTTCAAATTACCCCTTCACTAGTCTACATCTTTCATCGAGTTAGGCTGTGATTATACATATGCAACACTTTATTCGATGAAAATATACAACCTCATCAACCGATCTCTCATCTTCATCAAATACCTTATGCATAACTCCAACATTCCTTATTTAGTCGTGCCGTGAAATAGAAGCTATACTTTAAAGACAAGTATGATAAAAAAATCTGAAACCCACACATATCTACTTCCATAAATTATGTTTCACAATTACACAGAGAAACACAGCTCACTGCTGCATAACGTTGGGTGACACTGATAATTCTTCTACATCATAAATCTCACAAATTGACATAAGCCAATTAATCATTCTTTATCTGTGTCAAAATCTTCTAAACTAGTTTTCAAATTTTTATGTTTTTTGTCGGTTTTATTCGGCATTAGTATCATTTTTTCCCCCAAAGTATATGACCTTACTACTTTCACACATTAATTTTTCTATTGTAATTCATTATTTCATTGTAGCGTTTCTTATCTGCATTGTTTAATAATGCTGAACAAGTAGCTACACGCATTAATGCTGAAGTTGGCATTTTAACACGTAATCCATTATCATATAATGATAATGATAATCGTTGTAATTGGCCTGAAACGACTAATACTTATGAGATTGTTTCTATTCATCCATCTAATAATAATGACAATAATAAAATAGTGAATTGTTCATTGGATAATAATCAATCTCAACCACTCACAACAAATACTTCTTCATCATCATCATTATCATCTACCGGCGTAAAATTATCCACATCATTTGTTTGTCAAGATTTTAATTCAGATACTTCAGATAATATGCAATTATGGAATGATTGGTTTGGTGTAAGTGTGAAATTATCTTTATTTCTTACTTTAAACTTTAATATTTTCTCCATCTCTCATTATTCACTTATTTACTTACTTACGCCTGTTACTCCTCGTAGAGGAGTATAGGCCGCCGACCAGCACTCTCCGCCTGTAGATCTTCTAGAGTTACTGCCGGTCCCGAACCCGGGTAAAGGAGGAGGGTCGGGCATGGGGTTAGCGACCCCATCCCGTAGAAAACTAACTCACTAAAAAATACACTAAAACGCTGACCAGAAAAAAATCTCATTATATTATAGTAATTTTAATCTGTATAGCAAAATTAAGTGAATTCATAAAGTATTCCAATTGTTCAGTTGACTATAGTTTAGAATATACCTAATTGATATTACAATTTATTTTTATAATCCTTTTATTCCTTGTTCTATGACCAAACATTTGTCTCATCTTTATTATTCCAAATATTTATTCTTCAACTGATTTGTCCCAATATTGTTCAAATCTCAGTCCTCTGTATACTAGTTTTGCATTTTTGGGAACAGATTGAAATCTCAGGGTTTATGCTTGGTGAATAGTAGGGAAGAGGGTGTTTTAGTATGATCAAATTACGAGTCAGAGATTTATAGACAATTATTTACTGAATGAACGCGTTTATTAATTATACTTAGAAGGAAATCACAACTTCCATTAATGAATAATATTTGATTAAATACAGAGCAATAAGAACTAATTGACTCAGGCTGGTAACTGTTCGAAGAACACATGATGGATATCTTCTTATTTAAATAGTTATTTTCTTAAATAGGATGTTAGTAGTTCAGTTCGTGCATTAGAAGTGATTAATGCATATACTTTTCAAACTGAGATGGATATTTCAATCACATTGGTCGTCATTTAACGTCGGGAAATGTCCAACACTAGATAGTTCTTTAGCTCTAGTATGGGACTCTGTGTTGCTCACTCACGATCTGACCGTTGGGGATCCAAACCAGGATTGTTAGGTGTTGTTGAAAGTACTCAACCTTTAGACGCATGATGTTGACTGTAAAATAGAAACTTCACAGACTCCTTACTCTAATACTAATTTTGTGCCAAGGAGTGACAAGTTTCGTGAAGTTATTCCCAAAGTTATAGTGCGAATCCATAACCAGTGAAGTTCAGCTTTGTTAGATTTGAGCCATTTGCTTACCAATGGGATTGGGAGATGGTTGCGCAATATCACGGATTCGTTGAAACTAGAAATAAAAAACTGTCGGACATCGACTCAGTAGTTATAATTGTTAAGTTTTCGCTACGAGATCTGATGGTCGTGTGTAGTCACTGCTGAGGAGTCTTATATTAGAGCGAATTAGCTGTATAGCGTTTCCTAATCTTTAATGGTTGTCTAGCTAAGGTTAGTTAGTGATCAAAACGGTAAAATTGTCTCTTAATCTTTGCATCGTTTAAACTTAATCGTATCTAATGCTCACATTTGTTTGAATGTACAATGCACGATTTCGTAAAGGGATTATAAGTAGATTGTTTAGGATTTGTTTTCAATAATGTCGTTTTCTAGAACATATTTTATTTATGTCTATTTCATACTGTTTAACTCCTACATTTAGTTCTCTTTTTATTATCTAGATGAGAGCAAGAACAAAGAATTGAGCAGAATAACATGAATTCATTTTATTTACTTAAGTTCTCATATCAACAACTCATAAACTATGATATTTTTAGTTGAAAATTATCGTCAAATTTACGTGCTTCTAACAATAAAATAGGGTATGTATCATCATGCTAGCGTAATACAATCGCAGACATCCGTAAGGTGTTGTAAATCAATACAGTTAGTGAGATAGGATTCTGGATGATCAAACAAAAATAAAATAATTAGTTGATTATGTAGTGAATGAAGTAGCGCTGTATACATTAATAGCAATCAGAAATAAGATGATTTGAGATCAGTCAGTTAAGAACGAAATTGTGAATTTGAAAGAAGTGGTTTAATCAAAAATAAGAGGGAAGAAATTGCAAGAATAAGGTAGTAGAGTGAGGATAAATTGACCATAGTAAGTGAAAATTTGCAACTGTTTCCGTTCGGGTTTATAAGTCTGACTGAAAAGGTTTAACAAATATGGCTTGGACGAATTTGAGAAGAATGGAATTTGGGTTCATGTTATTTTGTTCAATTATTTGTTTAACTCATGTTAATTAACCACAACACTCCTACTACTCAAAAATAGCTACTGGTTTATAATTTCAATCATTACATTATTCATAACTAATCAATCTCCAATCATTTGTTTATTCATTTTAACATATCTAGATAAAGGGGGATTTAGACACATGTATTGATCATTTGTTATCAGATCTTGAATCTATCGACATTTTCACGTCCACAGTCAATACCACAACTGTCACTAATACTACTTCAACTGTGAGTTCTACGATTCCCAACCAAAATGTTAATAATACAACAATAATTGAAACACTAATCGATATTGATCAATGTTCGCATCAATCGTCTGTTGTAACAACATCATCAAATGATATTATTACCTCAGGTCCTAGCAATGTATCTCACAAATTGATATCGTCTCCTTCATCATCACTATCAGACTGTGTTATTAATGTCACCGTCAATGATAAAACACTAGCAATGTCTATTACTTCAGCGACAATAACGAGTACTTCTGACTTATTTCATCCTAATTCACCAATATTATCTACACTATTATGTGACAATACTGGGAACAATAGTAACAATGATGATGTTAATAATAATAATGATAATAATGAGTCACTTATTATTTCTAGCATACCTGATACTAACTTGATGATGAAGACTCCTATAATTTCTACTCCTGTTACAATTACTACTTCTACGGTTACTAATCAACATCTTGTTCATAATGTCTGTAAGCGATTGATTACATCATTACCGTCATCATCTTCATCACCATTTTGTTTCAGTCAGTTGGTTAATAATAATTCACAAAATTTTCCAAGTAAACGTCAATGTCTACGTCATTCTGATAATGTAAATAATATTAATAATAGTACTACGAATATTAATACTAATAATAATTTACCACCAATTTTAATTACACCGGATTCAAAGAAAAATCATGTCAATGAACATAATGATAAATTATTGTATGAAAATTTGCCAAGCTGTAAATTGTTTAAAGGTACACTATTTGTATTAGGGTTTGTATTTAATTTTTCAATGATTGTATTTCCTTATGAATCAAATGATAATATTTCAGTCAATCAGTCAGGGCTAGGTAACATAGAGTTTGGTATATAAATATCTGTCGATAGAAGTTGTTACTGCACCACAACATCTGTACAGCTAAATTATTTATTTAAACACATAGACATCGATATAAAGAGGCACTAAATATATATAGGCCAAATTTCGTCATTCGATTTGTGTGAGGACTGGAATACTGTCCGGGCGCCCAAACCGAAGCAGGTGGTCTTATCAGGGAGCCACTACTCCCCGAACCTTTGACCTAAAGGTCTAATTCACATGACAGTGGAGCAACGTTAGGAGATGCAGTCCGATGGCATCCGGTGACCAACGATTGATTCATACGCCGATTGTTCCTTCAGGATACTGTAGCCCATGTGAACCATTGATCTGGAATCAGGGTTTTCCAACTCCCCTAGATGGATCCTCTATATCCATCAACCAGTTTAAAGCTCCGAACGTTCGCTTTCCGTCCTCCCAATTTCATAAACAACACTGGTGCCGCCGCAAGAAGGCAATGAGTAAGACTTCCCTGACAGGGGTTGTACGCATGTGGCCATGTGAAAGCATTTTAAAAGGGAGGGCTGACTCTCCCCTCTCTCGGCCGTACCAGTGCATCAGTTACACACTTAACCACCACTAATGACCTTGAGTTGACGTAACAATGTTCCTATTGGTTGTTTATTCTCAAGCCCCTCTATGCTCTGTGTTGAGTCCCAAAGTCAATTGTGTTTATATTTCAAACAAATGTGGTTAAGACACAGAAATACGGGACCGCATTACATTACTAAATGAAACAGCAACTATATGTAAATAAGCCAAAAGTGGGTGTGATTAGGGGAAACTCTAATTCAAAATAGCAAGTCATTTAACTGTAGTTTATAGGTGAACCGAAAGCTTATGATAAACGGAATATATATATATATATATATATATATATATATATATATATATATATATATATATAACCATTTACTCAGTAATTATACAACGAAATGATAATTAATAATAGTTCAAAACCGGTTCCAATTTACAACATTCGTTTCGTCATGACAATTAACCCGATTCTTCATATCACATCAACTTGACAATAAGCGATAACTAACATGAATGGAGTCGAGATATTAACAGTAACAGTAATAATGAGAAGGCAGAATATTGATATAATCTTTTTCAAAAGGACAGAATAAGTTGTAAATACATGAATTTGAATTAATTAATTCAGATAAACAATAGGTTTCTAAGATCATTTAAATCAAACTTATGCAGTGAAAATATTTAACCAGAGAAAATGGTACCAACCAACTATTTCATTCAGTCACAAATTTGAGTGTATAATCCATGACGTGTGTTTCATTCTGTTTGGAACTTCGTTTACTGAATAAATCTGCATTTAGTTGTTGATGTTTACTCTGGTATGTGTATACAATCTGGAACGTGTTACGTAATTCCATATGAAGGCATTCCTCTTGGGATGGAAACATGCCGTCAGTGACCAGTGATCATTTGAACTCATGAATTTTAACTACTGATATTCAGTTCTAGTTAGTCGAAGTTATTTTTTACTTGTTGATAATCACTAGACATACATAGCGAAAGTGGATGTGAGTGGGGAAAGGTTTAAGTAATGGATTGGCAATAAATTCGAAATAGCCAGTCATATAGCTGCTACATAGATCAATTTCGTTATTGTTGAAGGAGTCCCAAAAACATCCCACGTCGAAGTTCCTAGAGAAGCAGAAACGTTGAGGAATATTTTATCCCATCGGCGTTGGGTAGAATCTTCGCAGAAACATCTGGGAAATGAGGAATTATGTGTCACAGTTTTGATTAGATATTTACTTACGCTGCTACTATACTTAGCATGGTTCCAGGAACTTCCCGGGGCTCAAAGCCGTATATAACTTTATAAATACTCTTGTTTTTCTGCACATCAACCAACTTTGGAGTAAAGATCTTACTTGCAATTCCCGCTTTCTCTCTATTGTTCCAGTGGACATGTCGAAGTAGTTGGGAATATCGGAACCGAGTAGTAAGAAGACGGTTAATAGATATCGATGGTAGCAAGATTTGTCAATTATATTACTCAGGGTTGTAGTATCATGTATCAAACTTTCGTTTGTATAATCACATCGTTATTATATACTTAAAATTGCCTTTTTTTTATTCTAACTTAAGTTCATTTGTTAACTTTTTTTTTCAATAACTCAAAAGGAAATACTAATAAAGATTCATTTCAACATCATTCAAATGATCATCATCTTCAGTCCACTTATCTATTATCATCACCTTCTTGTTATTATTCTATTCCACAGAATTCAAATGCTCAAACTGTAATTAGTAGTGCTACGAATACATGTATGACAGCTTATCTATTAAATAATCCTTTATCAATTATTGATTTACGTCAAATTGCACAGAATAATAATAATACTGGTATAACTATCACTAATGAGAATAATTACAATAATCCAATTACTTTTTATACAACAAATAACAATCATAAATTATTATCATCAACAATTGAGAATCATGTTAATTATGTAGATTTAAATAATAATTCCCTGATAAATTTGATACCTGTCAGTTATAATTCAAATTTAACACCATTTATTATGAATAATACATTAATTAATACAACATTATCTACAATAACAATGACTACCGACAGCAATATGACTTCGAATGCTTTTGTTAATCTTCCTTGTAATACTGTTAGCACATGTACTACTACTACTACTACTAGTAATAATAATAACACAGGATCGACTACTGATGTTGTCACTGCTGCAGTTATCACTACTGGTATAAGTGGTGATTATATACAAACTATCAAAGTTGGTGATAATAATAGTAATAGGTGTTATTCAAAGAGTTCATTGTTAATTGATGCAAAAGAAAATCATCCACCAACACCGGCACTTATTGTTCAAGTAAGTTGACGATGTTATTCTCTTCTTCACATATGTATATCTCTCTATTGTGATTTTTAAATGAATGTCAGATGACTGAGCTTGGGACTGTATGCTTGGATGATGATAACGTATTGGTCTCTATAATGGTTAGGTATTTGTCCTAAGATCTGAATGTCCTGTGTTCGATTTCTAACTGGCCTTTGGGTGGACATTGTTAAGAAGTCTCAAATTAGAATCGAAGTAGTTATGGAGTATCCCCTGTGTTTTGAATGCTCTGTCAAGTGAGATCCATCTGTGACGGATATATAGTCTAGAAAAGGAAATACCATTTCTTTGAAAATGGTAGTGGATATGTACTTTAGTAAACAGGATCAGCTAGTATGAGACATAGGTGTTGAACTTCTATTCGATAACCTTCCATCGTCCAACGGCGAGACTATAATTTATGGACGAACCAATCAGGTATAAGATAACAGGTCTCGGATTTTGGCGCGAAATTCACCCTAAATCTCATTCCCAACCTTAACCATCAACTGTAAATCATAATTCTAATTCCTCATACAGATTCATAACCCTCATTTAGTCCTAGTTATTAGGTGAAGATTCTCAAGGTCACTTTAGTGCCGCTCAAAGGTCGTCCATAAATTATAGTCTCACCTATTTGTGTACTGGTAGTGATCAATTATTTTCCAATCCATTAATTTTACTTAACTTCACTATTTTTTTTTAAATACATGTTGAATGATAAGATTATCGTAATGAAATTGTGCCTTTTTTGAGGAATAATTTTATCATCAGACATTTTTATAACATGTTTAGTTATCTAATTAATTACGATTTTGCCAATGATACACTGTAAACGTCTATAAATTAAGTTGTGCCGAGTGTGATACTTTTTCTTATAATGGATTTATTTCGTGAGATTTTGTGTCGTTTCAAAGAACATCTAAGCTACATAAAAGGATCTTATCAAAATCTTATGGAATTTGAGAATTAACTAATCAAATGAACCAAATCTTCAACAAATCATTAGATCTACATGGAAAATATCAGAATAATTCTCCCATTTGGGAGAATCTTAGACGTTATTGGTTCGTGGTATCTCTTAGTACCCTTCCCAAGGACAGTCTTATGCTGTATATATATGTTTGATTTGTGCCTGTTGTTATCGCTCATGCTTCTGGCTCCTTGCGGAATATATTTCCCCGTTCGAACTTGGACTTCTCTCTCTATTTAGCGGTACTGGGACGCATCAGAATAGCTAGCTTATTGGTCTTTGGTCACAGAGCCTTTGTTCCGTTCTCAGATTAGGTGAACTCGTAATCGCTTCAAACATAGCAGTTTCAAATAGATCGGCGAAGTATCAGTATAGAATTCTGGAGATTGTTGAGTTTTAATTGAGACTATTAACCGATCAATGTTAAATCACCCCCGAATGCCCTGGTACGGCCGAGAGTGGGGAGAGTCCGCTCTCCCTCTCGAAATACTCTCACACGGCCACGCGTATATAGCCTCTGCCAGGGAAGTCCTACTCACTGCCTTCTCGTGGCTGGGATGTTGTTTGCGAAAATGAGAGGACGAAAAGCGAATGTCCGGCGCTTTAACCGGATTCCAAATCATTGGTGCACATGGGCTCCAGTATCCTGCAGGAACAAATGGCGTTTGAACCAATTTTCGGTCACCGGCTACCATGGGACTGCATCTCCTTACGATGCTCCACTGCCTTGTGGATGAGACCTTCAGGCCGAAGGCTCGGGGTGTGGCCCCCTAAGAAAACCACCTGTTTCGGTTTGGGCACCCGGGCAGTATCACAGTCTCCACACATATAGAATGAGATTTGTGTGGCGCATATGTACTTGGTGCCTCTTTGTATCAATATCTATGTGTTAAAATAAATAAAACATAAAAAAATCACCGTTGAAAACTTCTGAGCACTGGACGACCTTTTCGTTCAACAATGCGCATTCAAAATCTTGCATGCGGGATTCGAACCCGGGATGTACAGTCCCGTGCACACGAACCTTTAGACCACAACCATGTAAGATACATAAATAAATGGATGACTAACATAACCACAACGCACTAACAATTAGAAAAATACAATCATGTCCAAACTGGCCATTAGGGTAGCGAAACAAAGTACCAAATTACATTAGCTCTGGAACAGAAAAGGGTATGGCAATGAATCATACATCAAACGAAAGTTTATGGCTTGTAAAATAATGTAGGAATGAGACTGAATGTTAGTATTTCGCAAACTTTGAGTTAAGTGAAATAATGTCCTCTAAAATAGCTTACGTTGTTTATCATGACATTTTTGTTTCTATGTTCACATTAAAATTGTACAGCCATGTGTGTAACATTAGAACTTTAATTTTTTCACTTATAGAAATTTTTCCGAATTATGATTTGAGAAAAATTGAGATTTTTCTATACACTTATTTATCATTGAGACTGTTACTACTTATAGTAGTAAGTTTAAGAAGTTGATCATTTTTTATCATAACTTGTAATATTGCTTGTGAAGAGCTCTAAATTACTATTTCATTCAAATACTATGTTTTCCTATGTTTTTAATTATAGCGTGGTGTACGAAAGAAGGTAAGTATTACAAGTTCGAATTGGATTGTTATATGAATTTGTTGTTATCTTATTTTTAATTATTATTCTAAACAATTTACTGAGGGAATTCTCGGAGTTCTAGTGAAAAACCGTGACCAGTGGAGCTAATCCGTGTCGGGTAGAGACAGGTATCTACCTCAGTACGGTGAGAGATGGTCGCGAAATTTCGTTGATTGGTTGATCGTAGACACTAATACTGTTGGATGCCGGCTCAGTGGCCCCCAAATGCCCTGGTATGGCCGAGAGCGGGGTGGGTTCACCCCCCCCTCTCGAAATACTCTCACACGGCCGCGCGTATACAGCCTCTGCCAGGGAAGTCCTACTCACTGCCTTCTCGTGGCTGGGATGTTGTTTGCGAAAATGAGAGGACGAAAAGCGAATGTCCGGCGCTTTAACTGGATTCCAAATCATTGGTGCACATGGGCTCCAGTATCCTGCAGGAACAAATGGCGTTTGAACCAATTTTCGGTCATCGGCTACCATGGGACTGCTTCTCTTTACGATGCTCCACTATCTTTTGGATTAGACCTTCAGGCCGAAGGCTCGGGGTGTGGCCCCCTACGATAACCACCTTCTTCGGTCTGGGCACCCGGGCAGTAATACAGCCCACACGCAATTAATGAACTGAACTGTCTATGATCATGGAAACTAATTCTCTTGCTTCGACGAACATTCAAATGATTCTATTATTATTATTATTATTATTATTATTATTATTATTATTATTATTATTATTATTATTATTATTATTATTATTATTATTATTATTATTTACTACGTCATTATTCACCCTCTTTTATTCTACTCTGTCTATACTAATTTTTTTCGACTTATACAGCAGCTCGTCTATGGTGGAAATTCGACTGTATCTAAACGTTCTCGAGTCACTGTCCGGTTGAAAATTGTATGCTACCACCGAATATGAGTACTGAAGCAGTCTTTCTGAAACCACGTGCACCATTCAAACTGGCTGCCTTCAACGTTCGCACATTTATGCAGGTCGGACAACAGATAGGGCTGGCTATGTCTTTAGAAAGTCTTAATATCGACGTGTGTTGTCTATCCGAGACCCGTATTCAAAACTCTGGCGAAGTACTACAAATTCGATCTCCATCTGTTGCTTCAAAAGGCTTGTTTTACGTGCGTTTATCCGGGGACCCTGTGACATCTTCGTCTGGTCTTGCTGGCGTTGGTGTCGCACTAAGCGCTAGAGCTGAGGCAGCACTAATCGATTGGATCCTCATTAACGGTCGGTTATGTGCTGTTAGATTAGAAAGTTCCATCAAAGTGAGAAGAAATCGGCGTGAGAAACGATGTCTTTTCGTCATCTCCGCCTATGCCTCGACAGATTGCAGCCCGGATGCAATCAAGGATGAGTTTTACCACCAGTTATCTGTTCTTCTCCAGAAAATGCGCTCGACAGATATTGTAGTACTATCCAGAGACTTGAATGCTCAGGTCGGGCGTCTAGGCACAGAAGAGGGTCGTTTAGGTGGCCGATGGGGACTTGTTGGTCGCAGGACAGATAATGGGGACCGTCTACTGCAACTGTGCACAGACCACAACCTGTTTCTGGCTAGCACTAATTTCCGGCACGGTCATCGCCGATGTGCCACCTGGCGTCCTCCCTCTGCATCTCAAGCCTGGACTCAGATTGGTCACATCGCGATCAGCTACCGTTGGCGTGGTTGTGTACAAGACTGCCACTTTTTTTGTAGTACCTATCTAGACTCTGATCATTCCTTGGTCTGCGCCAATCTTACCTTACTTTTCAGTGGCCAACGAAGTGACCGCCACCAACGGATTGATGTTAGCAAGCTGGTTGCAACTTCTGTTGCAAGTAAGTATCGAACCGAGTTAGCTTCTAGGCTGGCTACCATTCCACTGAAAAGTGTAGATGAGCATTGGTTGCAATTGCATGACGCCAAGAAAATGGCGAGTAAAGCCGCTTACGGCCTCGCGAAACGTCCCACTTATAAGCACTGGGTTTCTTCAGGCTCCTTACAACTCATCGAAGCCCGTTGGTCTACTCCGGGTGACCGTGAGTTTAACCACAAATGAAGGATGTTACGTAATGAAATTGGGCAAAGCTTGGGAAAGGATCGAGAAGCCTGGTGGTCGGAGCGTATCAATGAGTTGAAAGCGGCAGCTGCATCTGGTAACTACTGGAAGCTCTTCCAACTCATCCGAGCCACTGGCAGCAAGAAGTCTGGTGTGAGCGAAACAATCTGTGAGGATGACGGGATGCCAATCGCTAACATCCATCGACGTCTTGGACGATGGGCAGAATTTCTCGAAGGGCAGTTCAACTGGCCTGCTGCTCCGGCAACATCGGTCAGACTGTCCTGCCCTCCATGGCCGATGACGACTGACCCTCCAAATGAGGCGGAAGTTCGCAAGGAACTCCAACTCTTGAAGCACTAAAAATCACCTGGCTCAGATGACTTACCTCCGGCTCTTTTTAAAGATGGTGGTGACTTTCTGGCTAAGGAATTTACGACGTTGTTTACAAAGGTCTAGGATCTAGAGAGTGTACCAGTGTCATGGAATGAGTCGATAGTTGTCCCTATGTTTAAAAAGGGTTCACGTCGTTCCTGTAACAACTCTCGGGGGATAAGTTTACTTCCGATTGCGTCCAAGCTATTGACTTCCGTTATACTTCATAGGTTGTTCAAAACCCAAGATAGATTGATTCGCGAGGGGCAGGCTGGTTTTCATTCTGGTCGAGGATGTATTGATCATATCTTCGCCCTATGCTAAGTATTAGAACACCGTCATACTTATCACAGGTCAACAATCGTAGTGTTTCTTGACATCAGCTCTGCCTTCGATTCGTTGGATAGGACTGTTCTCTGGGATTGTCTATTGAAGAAGGGTGTGCCTGAGAAGTTTATTAACATCCTAAAAGCCCTATATCCAAACACCTCAGGTAGAGTGAGGGGATACAACCACCTCTCTTCATTGTTCCATTCGAGCAATGGGGTTAGGCAGGGTTGCCCAATCTCACTATTCCTCCTCAACTTTGCCATCGATGATATTGTCTCACTGTGCGATAATGCCCAAGCCATGCAATCCACACTTAATTAGTTGGCAATCAGTGTCCGGAGGTACGGTATATGCTTTACACATTGGAAGTGCAAAGTACTTCTGTGAGATTGGCACGATTCTAATCCTGTACTCACCCTGGATGGTGAGCAGATAGAAGTAGTCGAGAAGTTCGTGTATCTGGGTAGCTGCATAAGTGCTGGTGGGGGTGTGAGTGATGAGATCAATGCACGTATAGTGAAAGCCAGAGCGGCTTATGCCAATCTGGGCCATCTTTGGCGCCTTCGTGATGTTAGTCTGGTTGTAAAAGGTCGGATCTACAACGCGTCGGTGAGAGCAGTTTTGCTCTATGCTTGTGAAACCTGGCCTCTCCGAGTTGAGGACGTTAGACGACTCTCTGTGTTCGATCATCGCTGTCTCCGAAGGATTGCTGACATCCAGTGGCAACACCATGTTAGTAATGCAGAGGTTCGGCGTCGTGTGTTCGGGCACAGAGACGATAGTGCAATTGGTGTCACTATCTTGAAACACCGACTTCGGTGGCCTGGACATGTTCTACGAATGTCGTCCCAGAGAATTCCACGTCGTGCATTATTTGCCGACTCTGTGACTGGTTGGAGGAAGCGGAGAGGTGGTCAGTATATGACATGGTGTCGTGGTATTAAAGAAAGTTGCAAAGGGCTGGCTTGTGTCGGTCCTTCACGACTCTGGTTGGGGTCCGAGAGATGGTGTTACACAGTGGCTAGAGACGTTATCAGATATGGCTCAGAATAGAAGCCTGTGGCGATCATGCTGTAACCTTCTTTTATTTTCTTCATAAAACGTGGTTGTATCTTCCTTAACTGAAAGATTTCTTTTGATTGTACCTTTCTGTTCCCCTACTATTACTATTATTATTATTACACTACCTTACACCAATCTCTTCGTTATTGTTTTTTTAAAGTTTTTTTTACGTTCCTCACTTTTTTTTCTTCTTAAATTCTAATTGTTTTGTGTGGCGCATATATATTTGGCGCACTCCTGTACCAATGTGTATGTGTTCAAATAAATAAATAAATACAGTGGTTCAGTAGGTTAAGTGTTCACGTGCGAGACTGAAGGTCCTGGGTACAATCCCGCGAGTAGGATCGTGGATGCGCACCACTAAGGAGTCCCACAATAGGACGAAACGGCCGTCCAGTGCTTCCAGGTTTTTAACGGTGGTCTCACATCAATCGGTT